TTAGGTATTTATGCTTCATCTCATTCACGATACCCCATGCAACTGAAAGGCCTTTAGTGTTAACATCTGACACAGGACCTGTCATAGCATTTGCCCAGTAAGAAGGCTTAGAAGACTTTGAAATAATAATCATAGCCCTGGAGCAAGAGAAATATAAGTAAAAATGGTCTTAGAACCAAAATACCTGGGATGTATGCACTTTTATATGTGGTAATATACAATTTGGTTCATCTCTCTCAACATTAGTGTCCTCAACTGAAAACTTCTAAGTACCAAAAGACTCAACAAGGAAAAAAACAAACTTTCTACTCTAATCAAGTTAGAAGGAGAAGAAAGACAATAACAGATATATGATGGTAAAATTTGCTAAGAACAAGTAGGATAATGAGCAGACACTGACAGTGGGGTAGTGTTTCAGCTATGGTGGTTCGGGAAAAAGAGCTTCTGATGCAGAGACCTTTGAGTATGGTTCTGAAGGAGCCAGGCATGTGGATGAGGGTGGGCAGTGTTCCAGACCAACATGAGAAACCAGTGCAGAGGTCCTCCCGGAAATGTGGATGTCTGTGTTCAAGGAAACACAAAGAGGCCAGAGTGGCTGGAATGGAGAGAGTGAGTGGAAAGGCTGTTAGATGAGGTCAGAGAGGGCACAGGAGCAAATTGTGTTAAGATCTTTCAGAACTCACCACACAAAATTTTGTTTCACCATTGAAATTCTTCTTCTCTCCCATTAAGAGTCTCAACTCTATCATCAGGGAAGGGATCGTGTCTTATTTATTGTTATGTTCCCCACAGACCAGTACTGTGCTTAAGCCTAGGATGGGTATTCAAATATTTGAATATTCAATATAATATTCAAGTAAATATTCAAACATAACCTGAATCAAATCAGATTAAAATGGAAACCCAGAGACTCCCTTTACCTATTCAATATGTTCAGCAGTTTTCATAATGATACAAAAGGCTAAATGTACTGGTTGAACCGTCATTATGAGTAAGTAGAAGACTAAGCTAGGTGATTATCTGCCCATTGGCTTTCACTAAAACAATGGTTGCTGACCGACCTACTGTGGTGTTCTGCTAGATGACAGCAGAATCTTTAAAACCCCACTTCTATTTCCCTCTACGTGAACTAAGCAAAGATAAGGAACTCGGGGGTAAGAAACCTGGAATGGGAAGTTGTAGAATAAGGAGAAAAGTGGCAGAAAATAGTAGGGAGAGACCATTTTCTGCTTAGTCCATGACAATTCAAATTTTCCTTAAATTTGAGGAAATAGTTCCTACTAAGATTGCTAAACTTGATCAGAGAAACACTATAGTTTAGAGAAGGTAGCACGACGTTGCATCTTACTCTAAGAATTAGGTTCTAATACTGGATATTTAAAATTTTTTATTTCTATTGCTAAGAAATTATTTGCATATATGTGCACATGTATGCTACCTCCTGCCAAATATATACCATCAAGAAGCCAACAGAGATGTCCATATGATTTCTAATCATTTAAAATATCTAGATGTATCTTTACAAAATTTTGCCATCTGTAGAATCACATCATATGGCAGTCAAGAACTTGATGTACTCATCTTTTAACTCCACGTTTTCCAAATACTGTATGTTAGATTCAGTAACTGCACAATGCTCATAATGATCAAATTCACTACCTACTGTTCCTTTCTCAAAAGTATAGTCTTACAAATGAAGTATGCAGGATGACTATTAACGGATGAATTAAAGTTTTGAATTTTATGGTAAATGAAAAGTGCTAACTGAAGCATAAAGGCACAAATACATCATAAAGGCACGTAACACATGATTTAAAGCCAACTATAAATATGAACGGTAATTAGAGATTTTGTTAATTAGCACAGAAAATTCATTCTTAAATTCATTCTTAAAAAAAAGTTCAAAATAAGAGCCTGCTCTACACCTAGCAGCCTGTACAACCACTCTAACCTTCAGCATGTCTGATTTGGCCAGAACAGTGGATTTTTACTTGTTTGCTTGTTTTGTTTTAATGTGAATTTGAATGCATTTAGGAAGTACAGGTATTCTGTTTTACTACGGATGCCACCATTCCCAGTTGTGTAACACTGAGCCTCATTTGTGTTTTCTGGCACTAACGGCATTTAAATTTTTAAGTTTTGCAATTGCAGGTGAAGATGTTTGGTTTCTTATGCAAATTCTGAAATGGCTTTGGTAGACACTGAAATAGACATAGTCCAGAGCAAGCACTCATTTTTTTCAGTGATACAAACATCATAAGAAGTAAACAATGACACATTTTCCTAAAGGCAACCTTAGGTTCCTCATTCTATTTTCAGAGATTCTCTGGGACCGAAAACCTTCAGAAGTTAACCACCCCAATTTTCACCATTTAGGGAAATTAACAGGTGCCCAGAGTGGCAACGACTTGTCCAAGGTCATACAACCAGCTGGCAATTTGATTATGGAAGAGGTTTGAATTTATTTCCCCTAACATGATTTTTATTTAATCAAGGGAAAAAACTAGTATTTCTAATTATTCTGGGTCCACTCAGCAAGTATTCAACAAGTAGTACACTGAGTTTGCTCTGAAGAAATGAACTCAGTTCTTGTTTGTAAATAATCAGAACCCAAGTTACACACTGCTGTATGTCAATTATATCTCAATAAAGCTAGAAATAAATAAATAGTGACAGTTAAGTAGAAAGAACAGATTGCCGCTCAGCAGCCATGGTATTTGCTGAATGAATAAAGAAATAAATGCAACTTTAGTTCAATGGGTATGTTTGTAAGCAGTGGACCTTCAAATGGACAGAAGAGCCAAAGGCACTACTATGGATTAAAAAAAACTTTCAAATAGACAACTAATCTTAAATAAAATCTTTTCACATAGGAAAAACAGGTTCACAATTCATTTCCAAAATGCCTGATTAGCCAAAATACAGCAGTTGTCCAGGTCAGCAAAGCATTAATTCCTGTTAAATAAATCCACTCTTGTTATACCTAAAATTTCCTCAGACCTGATTCAAATTTTCCAAAGTAATTCACAAACACATTGCTTTTAGCGTTTCCTCTGCATTAGTTTATCAGGATATCAAAAACCATCATTCTTAGGGCAGTGAAAATACACTGTACAATGTTAAAATGGTATGTCACTATACATTTGTCCAAATCCATTGAATCTGCAATACCAAGAACGAACCCTAATGTAAACTATGGACTTTGGGTGATTATGATGTGTCAATTTTGGTTAAAAAAATCTACCATTCTGGTGAGTAATGGTGACAATGGGGGTGGGATGGGGGGAACTATGCACATGGGTGGGGATGGGAATTCCCGAACCATCCTCTCAATTTTGTTGTCAACCTTAAGCTGCTCTAAAAAGAAAAGTCTTTGAAAAAATAAATACTAATTAATTAATCTGAAAGGAAAAAAACATCATAACCTACAGCAAGGCTCAACAACTTGCAACATACATGTTCCTACCAGGCAGCACCCAGTGATCTTTAGAAGCCCTCGCATTCTAGGGCCAAGCGGGGCTGCAGGAAGTACAACTGTTCTCAGTTATTTCCTCTGCTTGTTTCTTAAACTTTCATCAGCAAGATCAAGGTAATGAGGGTAAGATGTCTTATACTTGGACCAGATTCTCCTCTCTCATCTATTCTCCACCGTATCATGTTCCAACTAAGTCCAAATGGTTGGAAAATTTTTTGCTCCCTTTCCTCCTCCTCTTTCCATTTCATATTGTACTTTTTTTTTCTCATATTTTTCTTTCCCCCTTTCATTAGACAGAACACACAAGCTCAAACATATGCCCCTGCTTGTTCTTTGGGAAAGGGTAGAATGGTGCTTGCACTCAGCCTAGGATAAGCATAGGAGAAAATGAACATAGGACTAGGGTGGAGGGAAAATGGTTAATTCAGCACTAGGGACAACGGGGAGTACAGGTTAAGGAAAAGCAGCCATGATCTGCAATTCTGTTTTGACTTCACAACAGTCATCCTTTCCAGATAGGAATGCCAAAATTTCAACAAAACAAAATGTATAACTGTGAATTTAAAGTTTCCTTCTATCTTACGGTATAGTATATCTGCAAACTGGGGGCCAGAAGGATGTGTGCTAATACAGATACTGGGAAAGCTACAAGTAGGGGGCTCATATGTGCACATCAACACCTGCTGGACTCTATCTTGCACTCACAGATGTGCAGCCTGGGCTTATGAAGGCATTAATGCCCCACGAGGCAACCCTTGCCGATGGGGTCAGGAGCCAGTCGGTAAATGCTCCCATTGCAGTGCATTCTGTACAGCTTCCCAGAAGATCCTGGCAGTTTTCAGCCAACTGCCCATAATGAAGACCAGCATATTCTTGTAGCAACTTTCTCTCCCCTGTTTCATTTTCCCTAGCCACCCCCAACCCCCACTCCCCACTACTGGTTCCTGAGAATCTCAGGCTCTGCTCTCCAGAGGGTTCCTAGGCTAAAATAATAGAGACCGTCACAAAACTGGGAGACTTAGCACTATTCATCAGCTTTCTCAATATGTGAGGCCTATTCCTTGCCCCAGTGCAGAAATCTAATACTTCAAGGACCAGCATGCAGTTCAGGTACCATTTCCCACATGCAAGTGAAATAAAAAGAGAGGAAAGAATGCATATGGAACCACAGATCCATTACATTCTTGATGTAAATATAATAATATAAAGGTGTCCCTTTCAAAGCTGAGACAGACAATTTGAGAACAAAAATCAGTCACAACTCCCTGTACTCTTCTCCATGGAATTCTTAGGACTCACCACTGACTTCCCAAATAGGACACAATGTACCTGAAATGATGAAAATACTGATATATACCACTTATAATATACATCTTCTGTATCTCTCCCCATCCCTTGAAAGAGCTGGATGATAGAAGTAAAGAATCTTTTGAAGTCTGCACACCGCTAAACCGTTTAGAAATAGAAATGTGTTGCTAATCTTCATCCTCTAGCTAAAGAAGGCAAACACAAAAGATGTACTTACACATCATTGAACTCCTCCAGAGACCTTGCAGGTGTGAAAACATCCAACAGACCAATCACCTAAAAGAAACATAAAAACCAAATAGTAAATAAATATGGAATCCACTACAGTATCCATCAGGTCTTAATAATTTTAACATGTAATTCCAAATCCTGTTCTCAGTTCAGTATCACATTATATACTTAAACTCCAACTTATTTTCTACCCTAATTATTCTTTTTTACTTATTATCACTTTTCACAATAATCTATTTTACTATTAAAAATCTTCATCTCTTTAGAATTTGGTCACATAGAGCCATTAGTTTATCAGGAGGCAAAAAGATTTAGGGCTCTTGACTTTTATATGCAAAAAGATTTAAGGCTCTTGACTTATACATGTTATATATGTAATGATTAACAAACAGAAAAATGTAACACTTCTATACCTGTTGTTACAGTATCATTTCTCTTTTTTTTTTTTTTTTTTTTTTTTTNCAATGCTCAATGTACAATCATTAATCCATCTCAAGCCTAATTCTCGTCAGTCTCCAATCTTCTGAAGCATAACGAACAAGTTCTTACATGGTGAACGAATTCTTACAGAGTGAATCAATTCTTACATGGTGAACAGTACAAGGGCATTCATCACAGAAACTTTCGGTTTTGATCATGCAATATGACCTATAAACCATCAGGTCAATCATTTCTCTTTTTAAAACATATTGTTATTCCATGAAAGTGTTCCAAGTTACTATGTAGTCTTCAAAATTGAGTTTTAAAGCCCCAAAACATTCTCTGAGTATATTTGTGGTGTTATTCTTATAAAATTCTTAATATTAAGATAATTTTCTTAACCATTATCAGGTATTTGGTTCTGACTATTTAAAAGTGAAAAAAAGAAAAGCTATCTTTATAAAGGAAAAAACAAAGAGCTACTTAATACTCATTAGCCCGCGGTCTTTGAGCAGTTTTCTGGCCATGGATTTATACACATTAATCCACATTTACTACCCTTCCCCTCCTCCCAGCTCCTCTTAAAACCCAGACCACTTATTTCTACAAAGTCAGGCACTGAGAAGGCAAACCACAAATATGCTATTTGTAATATATGCCCAGCCAGATTTAAGGGCATCCTAAAATGACATAGATGAAAGCTGAATGGCCTATGCGAAACTGGCCCATGACTGTGGTCTCATCAGCATGCTGCTCTAAGGAACCAAGTTAAACAAACAGCTCTACAAGTAAAATATACCAATGCTCAAAACGTCATCATGAAAAAGAGCACTTCTAATTACGATGTTACTTCACTCATCCAAATATCAGACTTTTAAAAGCAATTTCAATTGTACAACCTGAACCCAAAAGGTTAATTAAAAGTAAGGCCTTGGAATTCAAGGTCAATACCTTTTTAAGTCTTTGCATCTTATTTCAAAGGAAAGGCACAGCTTCCCATCAGGTCCTTACCTGGACTGCTGTACACAAGAACACCAAAATTACCTGTATTTTCATTACCCATTATAACTACCATTAACATTTTGAGACATTTCCTTTGATTTTTTATGTGCATAAAATAAATTAGGGTTATATTATGCAGTTTTTTGTCCTGCCTAGTCACTCAAATGTAATGACTACTCTCATTTCCTTAAATATTTTTCAATAATATGCTCTATTATGTGTATATAGCATAACTTAATCCATTTCCTATCTTTGGACACTGAAGGAACACTACAAAGGTATGTGTGTGTGCATGTGTATGTGTGTGTGTATGCTGGGGGCAAGGGGCACTACTTGTATTTTCTTTCAGAGAATAAATTTCAAGACACAGAATTATAGGATAAAAGGACACTAACATATTTAAGGATCTTAATATTGTCAAATTGTCTACCACAAAGGTGAGGCCAACTTATATTCCCAGCAGTAGTATACCAGCCATCTTTTAAGATGCTGAAAAATGCTTTAAATGTAAGTCAAATTATTTTTTTTTCCTTCCCCATCCAAAATAAACCATACTTGTTTTCCTTGAATTTGATACACTCCTAGCTTAAGACCTCTGGTCTTTTGGTTACTCTCCCCAACACCCACTTGTGCTTAGGTAGCTGAGAACTACAAGCCATTTGTTTTTACCTGCTCCAATATTTTCTAATAGTGATTCTTGTTATCTGAGATGCCCCATCTCCTCAACAAGAAAGGTTTAAAACAATTTATACTGTTTTATATTATTTCAATTATGATTGTGAAAATCATCCTCAGATCAAAATAAAATTAAACCACTAGAGATCTTATTTATTCAGGAATATTTATGCAAGAGTTCTCTCAAAGACAGTAAAACAAAACAAGTCCAAAACATGTTCAAATAAAAGCTACAAAAACAACAGGCATTTCGGAATCAGTTTTAAGTTTGAACCCCACAATCAGTTTGTGATTCCTTGGATCCATGAGCTTGTATCTTTTCCATTCTAATAACCCCAGCACTTGGAATAGTGCCTGGCATAAACCAGCTCAATTAATATTTGTTAAATAAATGAAAGAAAGGTTACTTCTCTGAGCCTCATTTTCCTCATATGAAAGACATGGGGATATCACTGCTTATTTTCACAGTATTATGGGGAGATTAAGTAGACAATATATCTGAAAGTGTCTTGCACAAAGTACTGGCCTGCTGTGGATTACTTAAACACTGATCACATCTCAGAGTATAATAAAAAGAATTACAAAATACAAATCACAGAGACAAAACTATTTGAAGCAGCTATTTCCAGTAACAAAATTTGAGATATAAAGTTAAACCAAATTATTCAAGTGATTAAAAAGCATAGCTTCAAGGAGCACAATTAACTTGGCAAAAATAATAGAGCAAAGCATATTAGTAAGTACCCTATTATATTTTAACTTCCTAAAAAGGAATACATTTTATGAGATTAAAACTACCTATGTAACATTAAATTATTTTTATTTTTTATGGGCTTTTACAAATATCCTTTCTCCATTAATCATATTTATGGAGTACTAATCATAAGGGAAATAGTGTAAAATAAAAGTTTCCCAGCATTAAAATAGATCTGGGAATATTTTAGGATTATTCCATAGTCTATTCATTTTTCAGTTCTTAAATGGAAATTTCTTTTTAGTTCAAGTTGTATCTTAGCTTATTGGCTTACTTCTGCCATTACATGATTTCAGACACCTAAAAGTAACCCAGGAATCAAGTATTTAGAAAAGATATTTATAATACCAATAATCAGCAATTACCTCTGATAACTGTCCTACAACTGTCCAAAAGCTGACAGACACAAGTAATACATTTTCATTAAACTGTAGTACTCAATTGTACCAGTCAAAAAAACACTTTAACTCAGTAACCAATCAAAGACAATATTTAATGTCTTTAACGCAAGCACACCAAAACCACCATTTGGTCTACGATGGTAAGGTTAAAAGTAAGGCTCCGGAGCAAACCTGATAAAAGGAATCCCTTAATCATTTTTAAATTTCAAAAATGTACAGATCTCCAGACCCTTAACTGGGCGAGCTCTGTTGTACCTACTCAGCAAAAGGATGCTGCTGGCGGGCTACTTCCGTCATCTCCTCAGAGCAGGTGTCAGTGAGATCAAGGTCTCAGGGACAGCCAGGTGGGCCAGCTAACTCCGTCGAAGAATAACTCTAAAGTCACAGAGGACACCCTTACTTAGCTCCTGCTGCCCTTCCAATAAGGTGTACCTGTCACTCATTATCACTAATAAAAGAAATAACTTAAGATGAACTACGGATTGTGAGTCAGAGGCATTTCGTGTAAAAGGTAACATGCACAGGCTGGCATGTAAAAATTACATTTGTTACCAACACTTAGGATTTTCAAGAATTTTTAAGCTTCTGCCGCTGCTCTCTCTGGAGGCCTGATGCTAAAACCTGGATGGTAACCAAAACAGTCATTTTTTAATAAAAGAAAGAGGAGGATGAAGAAAAGGAATTCCTCTTAAAGTCCTCGATCCAACTTACTCAGAAGTCTTGGTTTTTCACTGGGCAAAACTACTTCTACATTCTAAGCACCTAACAAATGCTTGTGGAATAGGCTGAAATTCAGAAATTTTTCTACTCTGAGTCAGTCTTTGGGCTCTTTGCCAACCCCCTTCAAACATTTGCCATATAGAACAGAGAACTAAGAAACATTCAGCCATGTGCCTTCTTACATTCAAAATACAAATCACCGATATCTAAGTATATGTGGCTCTCTACACTGATACTGCTAAGCCTTACACATCTTAATATAAAAAAGATGTATTTCTATGAAGCAAGCTGCTTATAAAACAAGTTATATAAATTAAAATCCTGTTTTCCTAATATTGTTAGCCCTGTTTTTCAAGAGTCTTGTCACCTTCATTTCTACAAATACAGAATGGCCCAAAAGTAATCAGCCCAATGTCACATAAGACACATTTTGAAGTATCTCATTACAGAAAACCAAAGCATAAAAAACCTAATTAAGGTTGCTCCTTGTGATCACTAGAAAAGCCAAGGTATGGATTCAGATAACCCAAAATAATTTTTACCCTAAATGTTGGCTTAAATTGTCTATGAAGAAAAGCAATAAAGTATAGTGCTGGTAATCCTCTAAACAAGATGTTCTTAAAGTAGCATAGACAACATCAGTAGGATCCCAGGCCTCCTGGAGGTGCTTTGGGGTTCCATAAATGTTTGGCTTCCATTCCATTTTCAAAGTATTCTCTATATTTAAAAAGCTATTGCAATGTCTCTGTCACATGTATTAATGTGTAATGAAAAGCAGCATACATATTCAACTGTATTAAAAAGCAAATGTAAACTCATCAGTTAAACTGCCAGTCCACTTTGATTTTATGCAGACCTTGGAATAAAGCTTCTCCTGCCAGCTTTTTCCACATATCTCAACTTCTTGTAAACATGTCACTGATTAGGAAGGCAGCAGCTCTGCACTGAACTTTTCAAAAACTCAGGTCTACACATGGATGCTCACACAAAATTATACCTAGGAACATAGGTTACCTGTGGAAAGCAGGATTTTCTCAGCAGTATGCAATCAAAGTAAAACACAAAAATAAGAAGCTGCATCTATGATTACAATGGCATCCATAATCCAAGTCCACATTTAAGTCTCAGTTTAGAAGAAATTTGTACTTTGTGAAACAAATTTATATTAAAGTATCACTTTTCTGTGACTTTTTTCTTACCATGCTGTGCTGGTGGACAGTGACTGTAATGGGGTATGTGGTAGGGACTTGATAATGGGGGGAATCTAGTAACCACAATGTTGCTCATGTAATTGTATATTAATGATACCAAAATTTAAAAAAAAGAAAAGAAAAAGTCTGAATAGCCAACTAATAAATTACAGATTTTGAATTTTTTTCTACACAGTAACAATCAATAGGGTAAAATGACTCTAAAATCTCTACAGCCATTACACTGGCCAGTTAGCTCAGTTGGTTATAGCGTGGTGCTGATAAAATCTCTACAGCCATTGTTTCTACAGCGCTACAAATTTTAGTTCCTTTCATACAGCAATCACATAAAATTCCTTTTAACTTAATTTGGAATTCAGAAAAATAAGTATCCTCAGGCTACTGCTTTTTTACTTTCAGTTAATATTCCAGATGCAATTGGAATATTAACTGAAAGTGAAAATTAACCTCATCAGGATTTTTAACCACATCCTAAGCAGAATGGCACTGTTCTCAAATTTCCAAATTGATAGAAAAGAAAAAGTTATATTTAACTAAATAACGTCTTTGTCACACTTATTAAAATACCTGAATCTGGAAAAGGTGTCTTTTGAAGATCAAAGAGAAAAATTACAGTATTAAATTACACATAAAATAATAGCCATCTTTGATACACTGAGCCTAAGGCACTCTTCCTCAATCTTCTGTACTGAAATAACCCATAACACAAAATGGCCAGGGACTCCCATATTCTGATCATGTAGCCTTAAGTAAATCAGATAAATACAAAATTTCTTGGTAATATTTTCGCTTAAACACCTTTGTGAATTTTTTGTTGTATCCCATAATATACCCTTTTTTAATATTTAAAACAAATTTTTTTATGTTTTCCCACTAACAAACTTTGAGTAAAACTCATACTCCAGGAAGGTGTACCAATTTAACCGCAAGGCTTTGGGTAGCTGCCTGACAGAACACAGTGGACACTAAGACCCCGCACAAGAAGCATGGTCCAAAGTTTGACACACTTTAATATATTCCCATCTGCAGTAATTAAAACACAATTTTTTCTAGTCTCTTCAAGAGCCATATATATTCTTTCTTGAATGAATAACTTACATTTTCATGTTTCATATGTTTAAGTAACCGCAGTTCTCTGTAGGTCCTTTTGGCATGAATAATGGACTGAAATGGTCTGGATAGCTTCTTCACTGCTACACGCAACCCAGTTTTTGTGTCAAAAGCAGCACTAAGGAAAAAAAAATTTTTTTAATCCATCATTAAATGTACTCTAAATATTTCTATATTAGTACTTACAAGGCTATTGCATTTCTAAATTAAACAATCTAAAATAAAATACAAAAAAAAAAGATAAAAACTAAAATGACCTGTAATCCCACTACCCAAGACAGTAGTATTTTTTGGTGCTTCCTTCTCATCTTTTTCCCCATGCATATAGATCAGGAGTCAGCAGACTTCTTCTGTGTAGGACCAGGACAGTGTATGTTTTAGATTTTGTGAGGTTTTTAGGGTCTCTGTCACTACTACTCAACTCTGTGGTTTGGCTGGAAATCAGCCAGACAACAAATTTAAAATGGATGTGGCTGTCTCCGTAACACTGTAAAACAGGCAGCCACCTGATCTGATGAACTAACAGATTGATATGCAAAGAGCTGGATTCTGTTGGTCTTCTCTGCCTAGGCCTTACTATCACTTTCCCACCATATGCTGCTTTCAGGACAATTCGTTGACACAAGTTTCTTGAGCACCTACTAAGTATTTGCCACTTTTTAGAAGCTGAGATACAGTGGGGAAGTGGAGCTACAGTGGGGGCTGGGGTTAGAGGGCAAGAGTAGAATGATAAAATTTCAAATAGTGATGAATGCTATGACTAAGTAACACAGAATAACTAGATAAAGAGTGACAGAAAGCCAGTGAAGTTACACTATTTTAGCTAGGATGTCTGAGGAAGTACATGTGAGCTGAGACAACTGAATGATGAGAAAACAGCAACCATATAAAGATACAGGGGAAAAAAGCTTCAAGCAGAAGAAACATATTAACATTTACTGAGTCTTTATTGCATACCAGGAATAGTGCTAAGTCCCTTATGTTAATTTGTAAGATTGACTCTTCTGATCCCCTATGAAGTAAGTACTATTATCATTCCTCGATTTACAAGTAAGGTAACTGAAGCAAAGAGAGGTTAAATAACTGGTCACAGTCACAAAGCTAGAAAGGGGCAGAGCAGGGAGTCCAGATCTTGAGCTCATGCTATTAACCACTTTGCTATGCTGCCTCTCAGAAAAGCAAGTATGAACAAAGGAAAAAATGAAACAAAGTAGAAACAACATGGCTTGCTGGAGTGACAGAAAGACAGCACATGGAGCACAGGGAGCAGATGGAGCACAGGGAGCAGGAGGAAAAGTAGAAAAGAATGAGGTCAGAGATGTAGGTAGAGGCCAGATCATGTAGGACATCTACAGCAAGAACCATGATGTCTATTTCAAATATTTTTACGGACCATTTGGGTTAATTCCATCATGCTTCATCCTCAGTCTCTAAGGGGCATCCAAGACTTTCACATTGCCTATCATCAGCAAACCGTCTTCCCGTATGACTCTGTACTTGCTCCAAAATCCCACCCACTTCACTCCCAAGTCCTTCCACCTTGTCCTTGGTTCTTCGGCTCCCCTTCTATGACAAACCTCTGTAACTCTTCACTTCCTTTTCTGAGCCTTCCCTTCAGCATCTCTTTGCTTTAATTAAAACTAGGCTGTACCTTGGAAGACACTACTTGTTTTACAGCCCTGCCACTAGAGGGGATCCAATCTCTCATATTAGGTACCTGATGGCTAGCAGATGTGGTGGATGTCCTCCTTGTCAACCATTAACACTTCTGAACCACAACTCTCCCTTTGTTTTACAAAAGCCCCTGCTTACAACCATTTCTCCCTCTCTGTTGCTGCTATCCACTGACCTGGAATTTTCCGCCATTCACCAAAAAGTTAGTTCCTATTTCAGAGTCTCTCTCCAATCCGGACTTCTGTCATCATTCTTGGCAACTTCAACATCCAAGGTAAGGGCACATCTAACATCCAGGCCTCTCAATTTCCTGGCTCTCCAGGAAACTCCACCTCATCAAGCCACCTCCACGGTTACACCCTGGACCTCTATCACCACCAAAAGCTGCCCTGCCTAGAGAATTCTGAATGCCAGCACTCATTTTCCATCAGAAATCTCCTATGCCTTTTAGTTGACTTGTACCCTGACTGTAACAATTCATTGACCTCATCACCTGCTTCTCTCCTTCAGCCCTCTCCTGTCTTTATTTCCCTTCCCACCTGGCTTATACTACATGCTCCCTTGTATCTCTCATTCTCTCTCTCTCTCATAAACTTTGATAAACCTAGATAAAGTCTAAATTTGGGTGATCTCAACTATTCACCTTGTCTGAATCCAGTAACTACCTGTAGGTGGAGAAAAAAAGAATGCACATAGATTGGTTTCATTCTTAATCTCTGACCTTAACTTCAAATAAGGCTCTCAATACTGTCATTTTTTTCTAGTAAGTTCATTTTCTTACTCAGAGTCATCATTTGACACCACCTCTCTCCTCAAACTTCCAATTCACCCTCCTCCTTCAGGAGTTGCCCTTACCTTCATTGAGAAAACAGACACCATCAAAGGGGGACTCCTTCTCAAAGTGTGGTTCCTAGACCAGCAACATTAGTTTCACCTGATAACTTAAAAGATAAGCAAACTCTCACATGCCACCCCAGATCTACTGAATCCCAAGCTTTCTCAAGTTTGTCCAGTAATCTGTATTTATCAAGCCTACCACATTATCCTAACACAAAAGAGCAACAGGAAAGAAGGCTGCAACAAATTGCCTACACGTGGGGGAAAGAGAAGACCTCACAGAAAAGGGTAATGTAGCAAAGCCGCTATCCTGCGGTACCCAAACTCTTCCCCCACCCCAGCTCACTGGCTGGAGGAAGAGAAATGGAGTGGGGAGGGAGTGGAGGCCTAGGACTGGTGAACACCCAGCCTTGGAGAACACCCATACCTGGGAGAACTAACCTACATTACATGGTGCTCTGGATTAGTGGGGTTGTAAAGCTAAGACAGGTGGAATACTTGGAGAGACTAAAATTCCAGCAGTTTGTGGAGAAGAGACATCCAAAACAGTCTGCTCTGGGACCAAAGAAAGGTGGGTACTCTGACTTTCCAACAAGGAGAGGGCTGCTAAAGAAGCAAGGATTACACAGAGATTACTGCTCAGGAGAGAGGACAGGTGGACAAAATTGTCTCAGCACACTCAGCCCAGCAGATTAGGAACTTTCAGGAGCTTCGGGTGCTCCATCCCCCTGGCTGGCAACACAGTGCTGAGGCTCCCCACCCTGATATGCAGCCTGCGCTCCTTCCTCCTGCCGGCACAGCCTCGTAAACCTGCTGCCCCTGCCACTGCGCCAGGCCAGGGAGAGGATGGCCCTGCCTATGGCAGCTACAAGGCGCAGCACAGAGGCTCCTCCCTGCATGCAAGAGCCACCAGCCCTGACAATGGAGGCAGGCACCGCAGCTGGGAATCAGGAAAGAGGTCTTTCCTCCTGGCAGGCAACAGCACTGCTCGTGTGCCATCCCCACCATCGCTCTGGGTGCTGGGCAGCTCCAGAGAGTAGAGTTTCTGGGCACTGGAGGGTGCCACCTACACAAAGTTATTACTTGATAGGAATCATTAGAAATATGAAACACAATAGTTTCCTATTCTGTGTTTCATATTACAGACTAATTTTGTATTACAGAGAAACCTGGTAGAAACCAAAATACCACAAACACCACAAAGAGGACCAAGTGAAAATGAAATCACCAACCTTCCTGAGAAAGATTTCAAAATAAAAATCATAAAAATGCTCACAGAGCTACAGAAAAATATTCAAGACCTCATGGAGGAATTCAAGAAAGAAACAGAAACTTTGAAAAATACAGTATCCAAACTGAAACATACAATGGAGGGAATTAAAAGCAGATTAGATGAAGTAGAGGAGACGGTAAACGAAATTGAAATTAGTGAACAGGAATACAAAGAAGTTGAGGCACAGAGAGAAAAAAAGGAACTCTATGAATGAAAGATTATTAAGAAAACTGTGTGACCAATTTAAATAGAAAATATCAGCATTATAAGGGTACCAGAAGAAGAGGAGAGAGAAAAAGGGATAGAAAGTGTCTTTGAGGAAGTAATTGCTGAAAACTTCCACAATCTGGGGAAGGAAATAGTCTCTCAGGCCAAGGAAGTGCACAGATCTCCCAACACAAGGGATTAAAGGAAGACAACACCAAGACATATAATAATTAAAATGGCAAAGATCAAGGATAAGGACAGAGTATTAAAAGCAGTCAGAGAGAGAAAAAAGATCATATACAAAGGAAAACCCATCAGGCTATCATCAGACTTCTCAGCAGAAACCTTACAGGTAGAAGGATAATATATTCAATGCAATGGAACAGAAGGGCCTCGAACCAAGGATACTCTACCTGGCAAGATCATCATTTGAATTTGAAGCAGGGACTAAATAATTTCCAGATAAGCAAAAGTTGAGGGAATTTACATCCCACAAACTGTCTTTACAGTATATTTTGGCAGGACTGCTCTAGATGGGAGTGCTCCTAAGGCTAAATAACTGTCACCAGAGAAAATAAAACCACAGTAAAGGAAGTAGACCAATTAATTACTAAGCAAATGCAGAATTAAATCAATTACCTCCAAAGTCAGTTAAGGGATACACAAAGAGTAAAGAATATGACACCTAATATATAAAGAATGGAGGAGGAAGAAAAGGATGGGGAAAAAAAAAACCCTTCAGATTGTGTTTGAAATAGCATACTAAGTGAGTTAAGTTAGAAAGCTAGCTTAGTAAAGTATAAAAAGGAAGGGGAGAGAAACATTAAGTCACATTCCCAGAAGCAACTTTGTGTATGTGCAGTAAAGAAGCTACCTTTGAACCTTTGGTAACCAGGAATCTAAAGTCTGTGATGGCAATAAGTACATAGCTATTGATAATAACCCTGGATGTAAACAGACCAAATGGATACAAGAACAAGACCCATCTATATGCTGCCTACAAGAGACCCACTTCAAACCCAAAGATATACACAGACTAAAAGTAAAGGGATTGAAAAAGATATTTCACGCAACTAATAGGGAGAAAAAAGCAGGAGTTGCAGTACTTGTATCAGACAAAATAGATT